CAGATACAAAATAATCTTCGTCGTTCTTAAATGGATTATCTATCATTGACATTTGGACTCTAGTGCTAAAGCCAACGATACATCATTGATTAAAATCATTCAGTTTTGGATGATTTAGCAGAATTAACATATATCTACCTACATTAGAGCACGTAGTATATACATACACGAAGAACATATATAACAATTTTCAGAATATAAACGAAGACATCTATAAATAATATACGTACTCATGAAATTGTGTTTCTTCTTCTTTCTTTTCTTATGAATACAGGTCAAAGGAAACTTAATAAAACTAGGGATAGATGTGAAACTTTTATAATATTATTATGTTGAGTTTTTATTAGATTGGTTGACTTTCGATGATATTTGATTAATATATGTATACTTATAACATACATGTTAGTGTAACATTAACAAATTTGGCTATTTTGAATGTAAATAGTTTTTATTTGGCGTGAACAATGTATTTACGACAAACATTTATTCAAGTTTTATACAGTTATATATAATAATTAATAAATACTTTACATAGACAATCGCGGTATATTTCCCAAATCATTCACTGTATGAACTAAGATAGTATGAAAAATAGTAGCAAATAACTAGATCTATGATAATATATGATTATATATATATATATATAATTATTCTTTCTTAAAAGACCCGCAACGCACTTGCAATTCTTCTGGTTCCCCTGGTTCTGTTTCCCCTGGTTTATTCAATTGCGAATGCTAAAAGAAGTATCTACTGATAACTATGCTATGTATTAAACTTGAATATAAATAATGCAACTTACATTCTAAGTGTACGAGTAGTACAAATTAACATCTTTTAATATACAATTGCAGAATAGAACCAATACTACATAGGTACATCTATAATCCATTACGTGCACGCTAAGTAAAGCACAATATAATGTAGGGTGGTGTACCCTAATATAACAAGCCGCACAGATGCCTTTCAGAGAACGGGCAGATTTCGCTCGGGGCTATCACAAACAAACTCAAACTTTGCTTTTAAGACCGCCCAACAATTTGTTATATGCAAACTTTATATTTTAAGCAACTTCCCATATTGGCAGTCTGGTTTGTTTGCCATGTATATACAATACAAAAGAGCACCCGTTCATAACCTTCAAGTTGAGAAGTTAGATGTTTTATTATGACTATCATAAACTAATAATTCATAAATAGCAATGGAAAATTATTGAAAATAACTATCACTTGATAATATAGTAACAACTACTACTACTGAAACCCACGCATTGTCCATGCGTAGGTTGTAGGCTGTTTGAAAAATATTTATGAAACAGCGTAACAATATAAGTATGTGTATCAAGAGGGAAAATGAGTAAAGATCGTAAGGTTCCTTAAACAGGCTTAAAAATATTAAAGCTAGAAAAACTCATAACTGACTTAAAACAAAACAGAAAGAGGTCTGTCTGAGTTAGGGCATTTAGGATTTCTTTGAATCTATATGCCCAAATGGGAGAGTGGCGTTTGGTTTTTAAAATGGAGATACAATAGGTAGATAAATGGTATGTAGACCATAACGAATAATGGGAACAATAGTAATGGGAAGCCTTACAATTGCACGATGTAGTTGCCTAGCAGATTGTTATTTGGAAGGCGACTGCCCTGTACCGACAATAGGAAGCAGTGAAAAGTAAATTATTGGCTTTATTACAAAACTGCACTACTGTGCCCGTAAAATTATAGATTTTGTATTGCATAATTTATTATATATATTGTACACCCACTTTACAGACCGTTATAGTAAGCCAAATGTTTTACATTTTACTCTTTCTTGGAAATAAATAGGTATTTTGCTATTATATCCATTTTCCTGGTATTATATTTAATAACTCCTTATACCTTATTAATAATTAATATACCTCTTTAGCAAGTTTCAAAATGTTAACGAGCGTGCTCAGAGGTAATTACATTCGTATTAACTTATTTTTTGGTAAATAAATTATACCTGTATTAATATTATGTTATCTGTGCCTGTATATACGGCTGATCTAAAATGTTGATATATAATACAAGGACATTTTTAGTACTAGTATGTATATCTAGCTGTTTATATATTATTGCTTAACATATTTTTCCGAAATCTAATTTATTATTTACATTGTAATCAGAAATTAACTAGCTTATTTTGTATATTGCACTATTTTCAGCGTTATATACATATAATTTAAACAAGGTTGTGTAAATTGCTTAAATAATTAATGTTCAAGACGGATATACCCATATTTATTAATCAAAGTGTGTTAATATATTAAAAACATGAATGACATTCCTATCATTAGATAATCTTATTTGATATTTAAGTAAATAGTGTTATAATATTTGCCCTCGAACACAGGTACACTGACCTGAGATAAGACATTTATTGTTAAGCACATGTTTCTTTATTTGTAAATTAGGTTTTTTTTATTATTGTTTCGAAATAATTTCATTTGAAATAAAACTAAAAAAAATGCGAATCTGCCGCGAAGATTAAGGATTTCAAGCAAATCATGTAAACAGGCTTTTATTATCTTTTTTCGTTTCTTCAGTCTACACAAATATTAATAATAGTTTATATGTTTACCTATAAGCAATGTATATATTTTTTTATTGAATTTCCATAGTATAAACTGTGAAAGTAAATATATTTTTCCATATTTCTTTAAGTACACATACACGTTTACCTATACATCATTCCCATCTTTTATGAATTATTATTCTTAAAATTATTTCTGATGATAAAGAATATCAACGATTACATGTAGTCGTATAATAAATAGCTATTACCAAAACTTAGAAGAAAAGAGGATAAGGAGGTAGCTACTTTTTTAAATATTTCATCATAATTTGAAATAAGGGTGGAATTGTCCGAACTGGAATTGTTACTAGTAGTGTTGTAGTGTTTTAATATTTAAAATCACTGCCTATCATGTATGATCAGCCCATTCCGAAGAAAGTAAGAAACACATTTTATCTACATAGTTCCACTAGTATAACGAAACGGATGGACAACTAAGTTTAAAATATAAAATTTCATTTTACCTTTTAAGTTGGAATCTTTTAGCCGTAGTTAGCAATTCCAGAACACGTCCATCACCATCTCGAAAAAACTTGATTGCTTTGCTGAGTGCTTGATAGAGCGTAGTGGGGGGGAAGGTGATTGTTACCGTTGATCTCATTGCTAGCAATGTACCATGTCAGTTTAATTTCCACGCTGTTCTCCCTAGAAACAATCGTGATAAATTCCTGGTGCATTTATCACGGTGACCTAACTGACCTGACCTCATGTTCATCCTATCATCCTCCATTGATGCCCCGCCAGCGTAAACCGTTAGCGCAGGCGGGTGCATAATTCCAATATCATCCACTAATAAAAAAAAATAGAGCGTAGTGGTATTTCACTACGAACCAGACACTTCTTTCCTGTAAGTCACAAGTTTGCCTGCATATGGAATACTACTCTCATCTATGGATGCTCCTGCACCTGAATACCAATCTCGATCTTTTTGACTCGGTTCAGAAACTAAACAAGAGATAAACATGGTATGAGAATTGTTGATGATCCCAATCTCTCTGCCAGAATCGAACCACTTAGCTTTAAGCGAGACTTCGCACCGCTGATGACGAGACGACGGCGTAATGTCTACAGCTGTCTTTTACTATCACAAAACTCGCCATCGACAGGGAATTCATCCCCACATGCTGGAATCTATGTGGTTTCGGACGGAGCAGTTTCAGATGACCTTCCTCCCGCGTACACTTAGAATGTGGAATGAATTACTTACTAAAGTTTTCTCTATAGAGTATGATGATGTTTTTAAATAAGGATATATTAAGGTTTCTTAGTCGGTAACGCGCTCTCAATACACCTGGTGTTTCAGGCGGCCATAGGCTACGGTAAGCGTTTACCATCAATTAGGCCGTATGCTTCAGTAGTTGTATAAAAAAAAAGAGAAATATATTCTACTATTACTTTACAACATAACCAAAACATCACTTATTATGTTTACCAAATGTTAAATTATTTATTTATTATTATTTAAGAGAAATTATTTGATTTTCTTTTTCCTTGTTTCTGGATGAACTAAACAAACTTGATTGATTTTTTTCATCTAAAATCTACTTTATCGTCGAGTAACAGCTATGAATATAATAGCTGTATCTTACATGAGCAGTATCTCGGGATCCAGAAGATAAATAAAAATTTTTATGGTATATTGAGATCTGAGCTTAATATCAAAAGTCGTGTGTTCGAGTGAACAATTGCTCGTTTGCAACTCAAAGTTACTCTCTCTGAATTCGTCATTTCTTCTTCCCTTATTTACGGCCATATTTATCTTTTTCGTAACATAAATACAGTAAACCAAGATAAGTGTAACAAATGAGGAAGTGTAGGTAAATCAAAAAGGGCAGAACTAATGCGTCATACTTGATTCGACCGTGAGTAATCTATTTTTGCCGACATAGTAACTGCTCAATAAATGATTTTCTCCATAATGGTGGGATTCTCTACTGTTTATTGTGGACTCGATCTCGTGCTATGATTGATTGAGGCTTAGGTGGAACTCTTCCAAGAGGAAATTACATCGTTATTTTTCTAAGTAGTCGAGAAAGTTGCTAGCATATTATTATATTCGTAACAACGGTTATTATTGTGCTTTAACTGTATGTCACATTCTTTATAGAGAGAATTCGACGTACCTTTGAAATAAAATTAATATAAGTAACAGGAGCTTTTATATATTCATCGCAATATTCACAATATAAATACTGCGGTTTACTACTTTTTAAAATAAAAGAGGTGCATAAAATTACGTTATTTTGTAACTATAATGCTAATTATTTTATCTAATTTAATACCTCGTAGGTACTTACTTAAAAATAAATTATGATTGGAGCAGAAAAACAAGTAAACTAAATTTCAACATCTTTTATTTTACTCTATCACTTCTTATTAAATTTACACAAGTTCATCAATAAACTTTATATTTACAGATGCTCAACATTTTCACAAAACATTTGATAGGATTAAGAAATACATAAAGAAATAGAAACTTACAAAGTAAAGTTTACTATTTTTATATTTAACATAGAAACAATGTGATTTAATATATTATAATACTTACATTATGATAAAAAAACCTTTAATAAATAATAAAATAATTCATCAGTCTTTCACAAGGATACGATTATAGTAATGTACTAATCATAACCTCTTTTTATAGCTCTCGGTAAACAAACGAACTACGCTACAAGAATAAGTTTGTAAACTTTGAAGTACATTACGTACCCTTATATTTCATTTTTTACAGATATCCTTATGCTTATCACATTTGATTTAAAACTTACAGCCTAGTTATGGCTCTATTTGTTACATGCATCTAGGTTTTATTCACATCGAGGAACGATTATACAAAGCATTTTTCAAATTGAAAATTAAATATTTAATATATAAATTTATATTTATTTATAAATTTGTTATTTGGTGTTTAAGTATTTTTTATAGTTATATTGCCCTACCCCGTCCGTGTTTTTATTACTATTATATATTTATTGCAAATAATATTTAAATTCATATAAGTAGTGCCTACTTCTGAATAGTAGGCATAAATAACTGCTTCCAGAGACGAATGAACTTGTAGTTTTCAAACAAATTTAAACAATCCTTTGCGATTTGTACCTATCACTGAAGGAATCCTTAGCAATCTATTTTGGCCAGTTTGACCTACAACTAATGACATGTACGAGAAACTACCTATACAAAACTGTTCCCAAAACTGAACATAGTCATCTTATAGATGATATTCATGACAATAACAGAACATCATAGTATTATGTATTTAGATATGTTTTATGGATTTGTACAAAATGAGATTCGTTATATTTATACAAAAATTCAAATGCTTAAAAATAAATTTGTACTTATCTAAACACTTTTAGTTAATAAACTACCGAATATTATATAAAAATGGCACCAATGATGCCGATATCCGCCAGGTACCGGAGATAAATGAATCTGAAAGAGAAAAGAAGAATCTAATAATTGTAGAAGTGTCTATATACATAATATGTTGTATTAAATATTATCAAACTCAGACTATATAGATCTTGGAAATACATAATGTATATAAAATGTTCTTGAATTCGACAAATTACTATCTATCGAAGAAATTTGTCGAATTAATTATTATCCTTCGCACGAAATAGGAAAGGCACGAATAACTAGTAGATATTACTTACTTAGGAATTAGATAGGTTATGTTTTAACAAACATCGTGAAGTATTACAAGACTATGTATGAGTTTGTGTTAAGTATGAGTTAAGACATTGTATGAAGTCAACTAGGGTCTTTTGTAATGAGACATTAACTGTTTTGTTCTCTTATAAGAATGTCGTAAGTAAACACTGGAAAGAATTTCCCAAATAATTCCTGGGTAAAGTTGCAGGAAACAGATAGCAACAAAGAAACTTCCGTATTATTTAATATGTTGAATTTTTGAAATTTTGTGCTTTGTACATAAAAGAAGATATATTATTATTATTTTTCACGGATAAGACATGACTCAACTTTTCTATCAATAGAATGCATCGAAAGCGGTCCGTTTTCACTGATAATTGCAATTATTTTCATTGGTTTAGTACTCTGCATACATCTTTTGGGAAAAAACTCCTTAGTAAAAACTACTTTAAATACAATGCAGCATTCGCAACATTAAATTCCTATGTAGTTACAACATTCACGTGTATCTATGTATCAATTGCACTTACCTACAGCACTGTTACGGACTCCTAACACCGAAGCAACTTCTGGTTGCTCCACATCGAAAATTAGTTCGGAGCGTGCAGCATAGAGGTTATATATGCTGGCTATACAGGTCAACCGGAGACTGCCGCGCTCGAATGCCTCGTTTCGAACTACAAAAGACACCTCGCTCACAGATGGCAACCTATTATCTGGCTCTATCCTCTCAAATGATACTTTTGGACTCTCCTTGGGAGGACGTCTTATCTCTTCTTTATGGAGATTAATATAAGACTCGTCCAAGTACTGCATATTGCTTTCATCATGAAATATATTAAAGTTTACATCATCTTCTGGCTGTTCAGTAGTAGTGACCTCAGATTTTGGTGGCGGGTCCCATTTGAACCAGTTTGGTAGCTCGTGTACTAAGGACTCCATGTCGATCTAAAAAAAACATTTAAACAATAATTTATATTTAATTATAATGATATAATTAATAATTCTAACTTTATAATGACGTTCATAAATTTACAGTAAAAACTTAAGACTGCAAATACCTTAGAAAGTAATTAATGTGCACGTTTAAACATCATCGTAAGAAGTACATATATACTTATGTGTATACACGACTCGCTAATAAACACATTAGTTTCTTATTTTATTTACTTCACTATCCAGTTAAGTTTAGAATTAGCAACTACTCTTTTAATCGTCTTAATAATAATATTTACTGATTGCATGTATTTAAAATCCCGCTACCATACAATATACTTTACGCATTATTATCGTTTAAGTTGCAAATCTAAATAATGAATAATTTTATATCGTATCATTCTAAATGATATTATTAAGTGCCTACGTAATAGCTGTTAATGTGCCTTTAAATGAATAAGTAACATGTAGTTAACAAGCATGGCGCAATTGAGCGAGAAATATCACAGATGTAATACGAGACGGATAAAGGAAGGTTTGCTAAAAGCTTATCTCGCACAGAGCTGTTTTGTGATTAATGAACTCGCCTACGCAACGGGCAGCAGGCAAAAACAACAGTCACGTCAAAGTGGAGTAAGTAGATACCTACGGCTCTATTGTTCGCAGCGGACATCTGGTGGCAGCTCCAAACAACGGACTAGATACGGTTTGAATATACTTTTTAAGGCTTGCTTCCGGTAAAGTAATAAATTATGTCAATTTCATGTGGCAGGTCTACAAAGGGATTAAAGAACGTGTAAACTGCGAAATGAGTTTATAATTTGCAATTTAAATAATTTACGTCCAGTTAACATGAGTGGCGATTTGGTGAGAAAACTTATATATATGTTATCGTTTATTTGATCCGATATATTGATTGGTAACGATAAAAATAATATATTTCTTTGACTTCGAACGGTTTACAAACATATATATATATATATATATATATATATATATATATATATATATAGAGTTAGATTTGACAAATTCAAATTCAAATTCGTTTATTTGATCGTTACGATACATTGATTGGTAACGATAAAAATAATATATTTCTTTGTCTATTCCATATTTTATATACCTGTAGGTAATGGATGTATAAGTAGTTAAAGTGTCAAGAGGAAATTAACAAAAAACTTCATCTGTACGTTTATAGTATTAACTGTGGTTTTCACCCATTACAATATTAAATAATTTAATTTACAATATGTCATTACAAAATTTATAATAAGTTTCTTTATTGTTATTACATTATATTTTTATTTTACGTTATCCACACAGACAGAATATTTGGTGATATAAACTAAAATAAATGTCCCATGAAAGATGTACTTACTTTTTCTAGGCATATTTAATTTATTTGTATTAAAAGCGTGTAAGTGACTATTTTTTGGAAATAAATTTAAGCATAATATTTTCGAAAGAATACCTGTTTCTTTAAAGCGTTCTCTAAGAGATGGACACGGTAAATTATATATTGAACGAATTGCTCTTTTTTGTAATATAAAAATTGATTCTACATCAGCCGCTCTTCCCCACAATATAATACCATACGACATTATACTATGGAAGTAAGACATATCATAAGAGTTGGTAATAGATGACATGAATAAAGATATTTTTTACTGTAGATTTTGTAATGGTCAACTTGTATTACTATTTTATGACAACAATGACATATTACATTTTTTACACTGTGCCCATAACCTGTAGGAAGATATTAAAAATCTTAAATTTTTGTTTCAGGAGCGGCGAAAGAGATCGGCACTGCTATCACAAGAGTTTGCCTGCGTCATCGCTTGCAAACTCTTACTTCTTCGCTATACTTAGATACTTTCTCATATATATGTAATATATTGCCTAGTTCTGTGATACTGCAAATGTCCCCTGACCTGCTGACCTTAATTTTAGTTAAACGACTTCTACGGGAAATTAAAACATTTAATTACTTTTTCTAGCGTTAGTATATCACCATTAACATTTGCGTATGCCAAATGTTAATGGCGATATACTAACTTCTACAAGAACATAGAATTTAAGGTTTATGGGTATGGGTATGACATTACGACATGGGTACAAAACCACTACTGTTGTTCTTTAAGTTTTGTCTATAGATAATTTAGTGGAAATTACTTTTAATTCCATTATAGTACTAAGAAATAAAATAATTTGTATTGTGTAATTGCATCTGACTATATGTACATTGTTGCTCCAAATATATCTTAAGTTAAACTGATGAAAACTGATACTAATATTATAAATTTGAACGTGAATGTGATTGTTACATATGGGTCTGAAACGTAGTAAGTAATCATAACAACATTATAACTACAAATGTTTGTTTTCATTTAAAATAAAGTTAAGGAGATGACATTATATTGTGTTAAAGAATTCATAATCAATGAAACAAAATAATATTATCTTGTCGTAGCATCTTGAGGTAATATGAAGGATTAAATAATAAAATTAGCTTTACCTCTTGACCATTTAGCCCGAAAGTAAGGTTTGCGGGTGGGTGCGCTGGCGGCGAAGCGCAGGTTGCTCGAAGGGTGGATCCCACGTCGTACCATGATCGCTCTGACACCAACTTCGGTCCCCATTCCGGGGGCTCTGCAATAAAGATACACATCACCATCGAAAATAAATTACACTTCCTAATATTACATCTAGGTATTTAATTATACATTAAAGCATTCTCATCCAATAGGCTTAGCCATTTGATTTGCTAATTACGTTGAAGGTTGTTTCTGAAAATACTTCTTAAATACACCATTCGTATTTGAACGTTGTACATTATAAATGTTAATCATAATTTGAAGAGCTTGTAGAGAGTTTTTGTAATAAGTACGGTCAACATTATTAAATTGTTAATTAGACAACAACATTATGTCAGTCCGTTACATAAATATTATGTTCTAAAATATTTTAGCGTAATAGAAATATGAGTATAATACTTTTGATGGAAAATAAACAATATCTGACTAGATGCGATGTCAAAATAAATAATAGCAGTGAAACAAATTGTCATTGAATGATTGATTGTATTCTGTCTATTTCCGTTAAATACTTACTATTAAGTGTTAGCCCATACATTTTTAGTTAGCAGATTTATTTTACAGTGAATTCATATAATGATATATTCTATTATCAGATGATATGTTCACCTCTTTTTAGACAATTTTGGTTCAGATTATTTTAAACTACTAGAAGTATAAAAAGGATTGACAGTGGTTATTATATAAGCAATTTAGATTGCTATGTAAGATTTGTTTATGACGTAGGACTCTTCTAAGAAATATTTCCCAACGAAAAGTGACAAATAGTAATGACATAGAACAGAAACTAAATAGCTACTTCAGTTCAGTCCTGTCTTCTCGACGATTACGGTGAATTTCTTTGGAATCCATATTTTTTATAACTGTAGTGGAAGTAAAATATTACTTAGTACTAATAATTACAGATTTTGTTTAGTAAAACATAGTAAAGGACTAAACTGGGACTTGACTGAAGAAAGAATCAAGATACAAGAAAGAATCATAAATATATAATTAGAATCAACGAAGTTATCTCGTGGCACATAATAAATACCACAATAACCAACCAACCAACCAACCAGTCAACAAAGCATCTTTCGTGCCAATTTTATTAAAAATTAATTAAACAATGCAATTCATACGAATAATACTATTTGTATCATTCAGGCTACAAAAAAAATCAATTTCAATCGCATTTTTAAGCATAACTCAAGAGTTCGATACTACTGGTCAGATTTTACCAAATTTAAAAATATATGGAATCACACGAGAAGCACCAGCTTTCAAATAGAAAATAATCAAATCAAGTAAATAAATGTCGTGAGGTAGACAGACAAATTGAGTCGAATTGAGAACTTTGTCCTTTAATGAAGTCGCTATAAATGTGTATCGCAGCAATACCATAGCTAAATAGTTTGACATGGAACTGAAAGAACCTATAGTGTTGTCACTTATCAGACGTGTCCCTAGTTTCAGGTGTTGATTATTTATTGTAATAAATGTACATGCTAAATTACTTGTAAAAATAAGAAACTGAGCGACTGTATTATGTAATAATGAGACATGTACCGCGCGCAGAACGCAACAATCAGGAAAACGTCCCTTCAGGGCACCATCACATTAATTCCTTTAAACAAACAACTCCACAATAGCCTATGAATAACAACAACTTTTGTAATGTAATATTTTGATGTGGATTGGTATATTCTCTCACCCGGATATAACATATAAAGAAGGTGCACATAATTATGATTGTAATTGTTTATATGATGATACTAAGCGTGTTTTCCCAATATACTAAGTTCACTTAGGAAGATTACAATTAGTATACATACAATAAATAAGAGAAAAATAATCTGAAGTTTATACACTACATAAATAATCTACTGTCAATTTACGAAAAGCCAGCAAATTACAGGTATTACAAGCCATTTGGTTACATTTTTCGCATATTAGTTCTTTAACTACATATTCCATGAATGCATTCTTCCCTATCAGGAATAATAGTCGTCATGGCATATTTAATTGTTTTTGTTTTTGTAATTTACATACAATTTCGTTCTAAAGTCTAAAAAAGTCTCTGTTCAACTTACACAAGTTCATCTGTTAAAGTTATTTTAATGTATAACTAACTAATACATTTAATAAAACTTAGTCAAACCAAACAATTATAATTACATTTATACATAGAAAGTAGTAGAATTTAAAAGAAATAAGAAATAGTTGTAAATCAACCAGACAATAATGTTATCAGTTTGATTATCTATAATACCTATGCTAATAATAAAATTTCTGCACGGAATACCTAACACATTTTGATAAGCGCAGAACCATGTTAGCAAAAAATGTTAGCGTTTGTACGTCGGGACATGATGCATGGCGTGACATCCATGCACTAATGTGTTCTACAATTGTATGCACATGCGACGAATGTACCTATCCAATTGTGGAATATTCTGCACAATTTTAATATCTTCGTTTCTATGTAACATTCTTATCGGACATAATCCGATTATTATGACTACCACAATAATCTCCATCCGGTAATTGATAATAAGGCCCAGATATTTGATTGATTATAATTTTGATGACTTGGAACATTATTTACGGAAATATCATATTTCAAATATTTGGTTGAAAAATACATAAATTTGTGTCTATAAGAAAATGATTACAATAATACACTTTATAACTCTCATTTACAGTCTACATACATTACTGTGGCTATAAATTTCATAGGTCTTAATGAAACTACATACCTACACAATGACAATGGAAAAGTGAGGGCAAAGTTCGCTTTGAGAAAAATAAACACTGACAATATGTAGTCAGTTTTCTTCGTCTCCTTAGAACTGTCTCAGTAATCCGGTATCTACAAATTACTACTGTGTATTGTATACAGAGGTTTTCAAGTTGCGCATCTATACAGACACGTCTAAGCGGCTGAAATGTGTTCTATGGATAGACTCAATAGATGCAGGTGGTGGTGGTGGTTGATCAATAGTTGTGGTAGTCCATGCTCACAGGTACAACCGAATTATCACATCAACCTTACTATATTAGTTTAATAATATTATATATGTAATTTAAATTAGCCTTCATATTAATGACTTATATTGTCATATTACTCACCAACAACCTCTAAGGGAGCAGATCTTATTTCTGTATGAAATGTTGGTGCGTCTGCGGAGACCTCGCAGCGGAAGCGGCCTGCCATGGCTGGAGTAGCTTGCTGCAGAACCACGCGCCGCGCACCTGACCGCGATATCTGTATCAAAAGAAACCAATGATAATTTGTTTCAATAAATTTTCTATATTACCATATTTATAATCTTATATCTGCTGTTCTGTCTATTATTTCTTTATATAATAAATTATAATACTATTTATACCTAAAATAATATATGGCTTCACTCACATTTTTGGTCCCTTATATATTGTCAAATAATTATTGAATTATATTCATCGAAATCGACCAGAAATCAGTTGTAGTCATGATAGCATGTCAAATATTATTAATATATAATACGCAGATTAAATTTTAATTAGATACCTGCTATGGTAAATACGTTTTTTTTAGGTATATGAAATTATATACCCAGTGTGGTTGAGTAAAAAAAACGTTTTGTCGCCGCCAGTGATAAGATAATCCGTTCAAATTGTAAACAATGTCTAATCTGTTGACACATATAAATCTAATTGTAAATGGAGAGTACTGTCACAAGACAGACTGTATGATTTCCAACTAAAGTAGTTCATTCATGTAAGTTATTAAACTTCTCTCGGTACACAATATAAATAATTTTAAATTGATTACACTCATTTATATATTTTTACTACTATTATAATGAGTTGTTTAAATTTAAACAAAGAATCTTCCATATTAGGTTAATAAATATAAACCTAATTAGGGTTATAAATTTTGTATAATATTATATTTAACATTGACGTAATTCTGTAGTTTACATATGAATAAACGACTATTTTTGAACAGCTACGCTAATCCAAAATCTTTATTAGGAAACACGATCTATTGTTTGTCTCTATATATCCACACAAATCTAATATTATATTTTCTATATCAGGTTCCAATACAAAAGACACGAGAGACCCAAATATATTGGTTATAGAATCACAAAACCAATATAATATCGTCCAGTTTGGTGACGATGCAATTTTCTGTTCTACCCCTCGAGGGATATGGCCGAAGGAATTACGCCACAAGGCAACCTAGTCACTGCATGTTAGTAGTTTATATATATACAACTTATATAGAAATTGGCTTGACTAGGCTAAATATCTTATACACAAGGGATCCCCCTTCCATATATTTTTTGAAATAATTCATATTTTAAATGTACAAACTTTCCTCTTGAGTCACTATATTGTAATTATCTATCTAAACCTAATCATCTAATCTAAAATCTAATCTCTATTTAAACTGTATTAAAATGTGTTGCGTATTTCAGGAATAAACAACAGTGGTGAATTTGTTTTATACTAAACACGCAAAATACAACATTTAATTAGGTATTTTTAATAGTCCATTGTAAAAATGGTTTTAAGCCAGAAGAATCTATTTATTTTAATTATGTTTATTGAATTAAAATAGGTTTTTATTTTATTCATGTTAAGAGTAATTTTATTGTAATTTTCAGTTATTTTAAGCTACTGAATTGAAGCTTAGCACAAAGATAGGAACTACGCGTGCAGAGAATATATGATATTCTTACTATGAGATACTATTATATTGTTACGAGTATACGTTTATATTTCTGATGACTATGACGTATACTACTTCGCATCCACTAATATGCCAATTTCACTTATTTTTATGTTGAGTATGACATTTATATTAAGTACACTATTCGACAAAATGTTAGTTATATTCCATGTAGAAAAACTACACCAACTATTTTGAAATAATAATTAAAAATACCTAGTGTACATAGTCATTAAAAAAAACCTCACTCAATTATAATTATAAAATAAAACTCAAGAAATTTACTTTTATACTAAAAATCTGTAGGTTTAAAAAAATATTTCTTAAAATATCATTTAAACACACTAGTGTAATTGCAATTATTACCTTCAAAAGTATTCGCATTAAAAAAATAATATGTTTATTCATTCCGGTCTGTAAAAATAGAAAGAAAGAAAGAAAAATAATATACAGTTTGTCTCTCGAGGGAAAAGACAGTAATCGCCAACGAGTGTGATGTTTTATTCCCGAGCCGAAGGCGACGGCAATCCCGTGAGTTAGAAATCATACTTTTTCCCTGGTATATATATACAGTTTTATATATAGTGTACATATATTACATCTAGAGAAGACTTAAAAACAAATCGTATTATCAAGTAGGTATTTAACTATTAATTACGTATAAGCAATATTTAAATTAGCTATTGAAACACAGATATTTTAAAAAATTACCTTCTTTATTGTAGTAGATAAAATTTAAATAACATTATTTTTAGATGAATTTGTAATATATTGTGTTAATTGATTTAATTCGATCGGCTTTATCATCTTATACCCTCAATCAAGACATTAAATTGATAGAAATCGAATCTTATAATTATATTACAGACTAAAAGGAAAATCCGAATAAGCTCAGATCATAATTATTTACGCTAAAATCCGAAATTAGAAGCCCTGTATGAGCTGCAAAAATCGATTATTGTTCAATTTGCTATGATAGCATTTTAAAATTATTCGTAACATTATATTACATATTAAATATATTTTGATATTAAGTTATAATAATAGTGAAACTTATTTCTTTACTAACAATAATATATTATTCACCTGTACATATAGTAAACTACCTCCGACCATTGTAACCCATTCAAGGTATAGTTTGTACAAACACCACTTTGTACAAATTCATTTGTACAAAGTGGTGTTTGTACCACTTGTAACCCATGTTACACATTAAGAGTACCACATCCATCACATGGTGACTTGTTGCTACTTTTGTCAGGTGAACCGTCGTTCGTTTACCGTTCCAATTATATTATATAATAAGATTATAAAATTAAGTTATATATATAATTAAGTTAATAAGGGAGGGATCAAAAAGTGTAATACGAGTTAATGTGTTTTGTTTTATATAGTTTAAATATTCAACTTACATCGACTTCAATTCCAGGTAGAGGAAATACCCTCGTATGAGGTAACTCCTTCGGAATGTATCTATAGAATTCCTCTCGACCCCGGTACCATTTTACACTATAAAGAGTTTCTTCATCTTCTAATTCCCAACTACATTCTAAAGTGACAGTTTCACCGACCAGGACCGCATTCGGTACGTTAATTTCCAAATTGTGAAGGCCTCGGACACCTGTGAATAAGAAAAAATAATTATGATATATATTACAAAATGTCTTCGTGTTATATTGGACTGAAGAACATAGTGGTACATTATATTCTTACTCCATAGTACGAGTACAATGTACCACCAATTCTTTTCCTCTCTAAGCTAACGTAAGAAGTAACGTAACTACTACCACAGAAAATATAATATTACATACTACTACTAATTATGTAAAGGAATAGTGCATCAGGTATGTCGATATCTGGTTTGGCCCTGATAAAGTAAGCTGGTAAAGAATATTTTTAATGCCTTTATATTAAAAGCAAAAATTTCTGTTGACTGATGAATGGCCATTTACTGCTCTTTCAAGCAAAAACTACTAGACAGATTCGAAAGAAATTTCATTCTAAATAATTCTAAAAAGCATTTACCAGAATTCATACAGGTAGCGCCGCTGAATACAGGTGGTAAATTATTACGATCATAAAGATTGCGCTCATCAGGTCTTAACGTATTAATAAATATTTTCAAATTTATGAGAGAACATACGCCACCTAAGTGATTAAATTAATTATTATTTGTTGAAAAGAATATGTACCTATAATACATATTCTTTTAAACAAACTAACTTATAGTACCTCCACCTCACTATTGTCTACATACCAAAAAGTGCCATGGATATCGGAGGACATATTTTACTGTCCATGTTGATGGCTAAGATTAATTACCTCGCCTGCGAGTAATTGCACTATCTTACACTTTTAATCTAATTACAGCAATATACATCACCAATTTACTGAAAAAATATATGCTATTCTGGATAGGTAGATAAAAGTTTATTATCGTTTAAACACGAACAGAATTAATTTAGTAGCACAGACTATTATGGAATTTGATTGTATAAAATTGTAAATAATATAATCTAGTCTCTATAATCGAGCAATTTGTGTCGAAGATCGAAGACAGTCGAAACAACAATAATTACATTAAGTAGTATATATAAATAATTCCACTGTATTGGATATCATTTTAATAATTTTTATTTATCTAAACCATATTTTACAAACAAATATTTTTCAAGTTTTACGTCTCAAAAAACATTTTCGCTTCGTACAAACCTGAACGCCTCATTTAATTCCCTTAAGCGTTGAATTTAGAAGGACGCTGAATGAAACACATTTTTTATTATTTATTTTCTACACACGTACTTAATTGTTAATAATGTCTATGGAATTAGGTAGAACAGAATCCGTGATAATTAATAAATAATGAATGAAAAATTAAATAGTACATAATTAATTTTTTATTCATTTACATTTCAGAAAGTGGAGCTAGGCCGTTGTTGCTTGTTTTGTAAGATTTTATGAATGGTGGGTTAAGGCAGATAAGTTATGGATTATTACGGAGATATGAAATCTTAGTCGTCTTGAATGGTTGAGTTTTTGAAGTTTTTATCGCATTTCAACATTTAAAAAATCTCGAGATTTTTATATTCGGTCGAGTTTGTAAACAGTCAAAACAATCCGATTCTAACATATTCTAACATAAAATCAGCCTTTTTTTTACAGATTTTTGTATATTCTAATTCCATAGAAATCATATTCATACATACATATTCTGATCAGCTGAAGAATAAAGGTAAGCATATTTTACCTAAAAGTTGTCAGTAACAGAGTTAATTATTAAAGCGACGAAATGTTCTGAATAGAACACTTGGACTTTGTTCTGTAAGTTGGGATACTCAAAACTTAGTATTAGCTATATATGATGTCTATATACGTAAATATTGGAAAGTAGACTTGGCCACAGATGACTTCAAATCAGCGGTTTCCACCCCAAGATTCGAATTAGTTCCTCTATTTACCCTGTCAATCACAGAGACGTAATTGTGGAATTAGCTATCTTCTTAATGAACTCAATTTTATAGACATTAGGGCTACATCCAAAACTCCAATGGTGCTACTGAAAGAATTCATCATAAAAACTATCGCTACTACTCTTATTCTCAAACCTTCCGATTTCACACGATTTACTATTCTAATGTTATGGTTTAAACATGCATTTTCGTGAAGTCAAAAAGCCCGTTATTTTATTAGTATTACATGTAATGTATGTGTATATAATAAAGATAATTGATTAATACTTAAAATACGAAACGATTTCAATGTAACGTTTTAGTAGTAACAGAGATGATTTAATGTTACAGTAGTAGTTTCATTTTCTTGAATACATTTAGAACTAGCACGATCGTGCCCCAACTCATTGTCTTTCGATTACCCACTTCAGCGTTAAAGTTCTACATTAATACGTGATTGAGTTTTAGATGAATATACGGTATTCAAGTTGTATGAAGTAGGTATTATTTCTATAGTCTATATTCCATTAAGTAATTCTAATATTGAATATAAGATAAATATTCTCGATTTCCCAATTAGTAAATCCCGTAAATTGAATTTTAATCTAATAATTAGCGTAAAGATGGTGCGGTGTCGTTTGGGGATTTTGCCATCCTCCGCATAATAAATTTTGGCGGTTATTTCAATGGATATTAAGGTCCCGCAAAACTTGTGGTACTATCACCCGGACATCCTATTATCCGGACAATATTAATGTTCTTTAAGGTATTATACATATTTTACAATGTACAAGTAATAAGGAAAGGAATAATTGTATTTTAATAATAAATTTCATTACGTTGATGTCTAAATTTCATTTTCCATAAACGTTTATTTCTATTTATTCTATTATATACTAACATTGGATATACTAAATTTTTGTATTATAAATTAATGTGAATTGGTATATATATTTATATCAGAGATAAAAATTAATAACAGCATATCATGGGTTCTCACTTCTTAAATGGGTTTACATATTTATTTTATTTTCCACACAGGTATTACACTTACACTTAATAAAATTAATAGCTGTGTGGAAAATATATACTTAACATTTAGTTTAATCTATACTTGTAGTAATTGTAAAAATTAGCTATTATACAAAAATCAGCATTCTATATATTTTAAATAAGCCAAAACATTTCTATACGCTTATATAATTAGTAGATGACAGAAAACGAAGTGTTAGAGTCAAATTAAGCAAACCCTTTAAATGACTTTGTTGTATAATTGGCAATTGTTTAAGTACTACACAACAGAAATTCTTGTGTTAGTTTAAGGAGTGCGAAATAGTCAGTGTCATTAATAATGTGTAATTTGTACAGAAGTCCCTATGTTAGGTTATAATAAGTGAGACCCAATTCATCATAAGTGTACATTATAAATGGTATTTGTATGTATAATTAGCACCGATATAAACTGTAGTAGAGGTTACACTTATTAAGTAAACACAAATTCTTTAAACACCGGTTCTAAATTTATAATAACTAGGGAGTTGTATGTAATGTGTAATGTAATCCTTTACATAAAAATGGTTTACTAATTATATTGTAACATCAAAATTATTATGGTTTTGTAACTTAATATCAAGTCCTTCAAAGTTTTAGAATTAATATTATAAATTAGTAGATATTACCCTTTCATACTTACGTAGGCAGGTGGTGTGTAATCTTTAATTATACTACGGAGGGTTACAGACGTTAAATTAGCATAAACATATTCACCTCATCTTCTATATTACATAGAAAAATATATTATATCAATTAGAATGCAATTAAAAGTTAAAAATAGCGAATATGTGTCTAAAATCTGTCAATAAATAAAGATTCTAATTAGAATAATAATTATATATAACGCAGTGCATGTATATATATATATATATATACATATGTGTCAAAAGAGTATATATGTAAACCTACTTATTAAATAACTAATTATATACTCTACTACTTCTGTTTATAAATATTTATATGTCGTATATAGGATGTTTCAATTACACATCCTCTATACGAAGTCAGTAAATTTAGACGTAATACCGGGTACTTATACCTCAATTATTTAGTATTTTACCTTAACTGAACTCATCACATAACCACACAATTACTAATAATTGTTATACGGTTGTTCTAGATTGTGTTGCTTGTTTGATAATCATAAAAACATTAAATTTTGTTGTACATTTAAAAAATAAATAAATGTAATAAATAACATCAAATTAATATATTTGATGTTATTTATTACAATACCTGTCAGAAATATATTATGCTTTTTAGTACACAGTGACATAATGTTAATATAAGTCATTGTTGTTTTATTAAATAAATAGAAAATATAAATTATTTTTTTATTCTAAATATATATTATTAGTAAACTGTAGAAATTACTTAGTATTTCTAAAAGTATAACGCTTATAAATTGTACAAGAATACTACACAAAAAATTATATATTATAAGCACATAAGATATATATAATATATTTTAGCGTTTAGAGGCGACGATTTCCAATAGATTTTTGAATCAACCAAATGTAAAATATGAACGAATGAGATAAATTAGAACAATTAATTTTCAGTAGTAGTATTACAATTCATAGTAGTCCACCTACAATTTTAATTAAATTCATGTTTTTTTCGAAGCCTATGCTAAGTATGTTATACACGTAGCTAGAATTACAAAATATTATATTTTATACAAAACTCGCGTATACAGAATGCAACTGGTAAAAATTTAATAACAAGAACATTTTATACATTCTAGGAGAGTCAAAAGGGCATGCCTCGAGGATGAGAATGTAGCCATTCCGTGGAAGAGCTCACACAAATATCCTCCGCGAAACTTAATTTTCCTTGCCTCACTTAATCCATATCAAATACAACAAGATTTTTATACATATACAGAGAGAAACATGTTTTGCTATAATTTGTAAATACAAAACATAATGAGATGAAAAACTTTTACCAAATATTGTTGTAAATAATAATTACTAATATTTAAAAATGTTATTTCTTCGTTAATTATATAAATCTTTGTATTAATAAAATTTGAATAAAAATCCTAAGCACGTACAAGCCACGGCTTTTCCTTTATAATAAGAATTCCTGAGAATTAATGAAAATCTGACCTTCTCTT